TATACACATATACATGCATGTGTGTGTATATATATGTATATATATATACTTCTATATATCTTTCATATATACTTTATGTTGCTTTTTATGTATACTTTATATATAACAATGTTATGTTTATTTAAGGCCCAATACGTTCATTACGAAGGAAATAATCTGCAACAGAAAGGAGACGAATATACGGTTAAACCACTTTTGCTCCCTGTTGTAAGCACCGCGAGTATAGAACTATTCAGTCGATATTCTTTTCTGCTTCTTCTTTCTTTTGTGTTCTTTTTTTTTTGTTTTTATTTCGTGAACGTCCGTGTTTTTTTTTTTTTTTTAATCGTTTTCTTTCCCCTTCTCATGGCGCCCCAACCTCGAACGCGACGATTTCTATCGAGGCTAAAAGAACGTAAGTAGATGTGTCCTGACATAGTCAGACCGAGCAGGACGACCGCTTTCCTTCGCTTCACCTTTCATACGAATTATTCTTCAACGATTCTGAACGATTAATATTCTCTGTCCAAACTGAATGAATCATTTGTAGTCGTTGGCTTTTTCCTTGTTTAAAGAACAAAAAAGAAAAAAAGAGTTACATCTGGAAGAAATTTTAAACGTAAGGAACAACTCACGAAAACAAGCATCTATTCATTTTGGACGAGGAACAGTTCAGCAATCGAACTTCTTTTCGTGAAAATATGATCGTTCTGTCGAATTTCATTCGCACGAATTACATTAGGTGGTCGAATTGTTAATTTATTAGTCGATTAATTTCATTTGAATTTCTCTTCTTTTCGTGAAAAATTTCGTTCTTTATCTTCTACTGGCTACGATTGCCTCGACACGTGCGTTCCCTTATGCGTTTTTTTTCCTCGCACGCTGTTCCCTCCACGATTCAGAGCACGTTTTTGCACGCTATCGTGTCTCGACGCTCCCTAGGAAAGATCGCTGTATATCAGAAACAAGTAACTTTCGACTCGCGCGCTCAGAAAGCTCGAAACTCGATTCCGTGATCCGAGTTTTGGCGATCGCTGGTAGCCTACCGGGTTTTCGGAAATACCCGATAAAACAAAACAAAACGATACAATATGTACAAAATGTATATGTTGACGCGCAAGTTTGCGTCGTTAGTTACGGTTACACGCATCGCGATTCGTATCGATTCTGGAACAGGCCTACGACGAGCAGCAATTAAATTGCTGTCGGAACGCGAGAAACGTGACGAAAAACGTCGATGCGAGAGAGACACTTATATTTCTAGAATAATTACACAGACTTTCACAGGTTAGAAAAAGCACATCACGTGAACGATTAAATCGCTTATAATACTTTATTATTTCTTACAAAATCGTCCCGGGATGAGACGTTCAAACGTGTGTATAAATTCAAAATTCATTTGCTTTACACAATAACGTGTCGATTTCGTATAATAACAAATTGAGAAGAAAAAGAAAAAAAAATCAAGAAAAAAAGTACCGTTTGACGTTCCGTACGCGTGAGAACGTGATAAGCTAAGAATAAATTAGTTCGCGTCCGTGGGGTTGCAACTTCGAGAGAAAAACCCAAGAACGCGCGGTCGAAGAGACGCGTAGAGAGAGAAAAAAAAAAAAAAAAAAAAAAAAAAAAAAAAAAAAAAAAAAA